CGACTTTGTCGACGTATACAGCACCCAGCGCGCTGCCCCCGAGATCCTCTCGGGCCTCCAGTACACGGTCCAAGCCGACATTTTTGCCCTCGGCGCACTTCTGAAAGAAATGGCGGTCTTTAAGGGGACATCCCTGGTCGGCGCGCGTCGGAGCTCCGCATCTGGCGAGTCCCTCGCCGACGTTGTCAAGAGCTGCATGAACTGGAACCCGACGTACCGGCCGTCGCTGCTGCACGTGCGTCGTGCTCTACGGAACGAGCTGCACCGCCTTCAAACCTAATCGTTCTTGAGATATTTTTGCTGTCGTTTTTAACTATACTATATTGGTCGTCCTCTCTGCGCCAACTACTCTTCCAACGGTCTTTTCAGTACGGGATCTGCCCATAGAAATCGCAAGGGGCCATGTAATAACCTCAGCGGTCACTGCTGAGCGGTCTTTGTATTTGCAGCTGGTTTGCTTGACCTTCGGACACGACAACGTTTGGTCAAAGACACGAAGTATCGCATGTTTTCAATGTTCTACATCTGGTATCTGATGCGATGGGTCGCGTGACAGAATGCGCATGACTACAGTAATCGGAAGGTCAAGATGTGCGAGAGCGCTTCCAAGCGCTCAGTAGGCGCTCTATTCTGGTACCGGACACGTAGTTGGACGCAATAATATCGGTAGGACTCTTCTGCGTAGTTCATAAAGGATGCTGGGCGTGCGATTTGCTTCCGACTCTTCCGACCAAGTTCTGGATGGCAAAACATGAGTCAGGACAGGCGGCTGCGCTTGCACGTCGCGCATCGCGCCGAATAAATGCGTCTGGTCCTCAAAAGCAACGTCCCTCTGACGTGACTATGAAGAGGTCGCACATTTCCAGGAACCAAGGGAGTAACGAGTTATGCCCTTGCCGGGAACCGTCCCACTTGCCCCACTTCATGCGCACTTTGCGTGGCGTTCCTTGCAGGCTTATACGTTGTTGAGGAGTTATATTCCGATATGAAATCCAACTTTAGCGATATCTTAAGCGATGATGTAGTTGGTGTTGTTGAGAATTTTGACTTCCATGCCGAGGCTTTGCACCTCGGCTTTGTGCGCGTCGTAGAGTCGAACGTTGCCGTCCGAGTCTTGGACGACCATGAAGAGATCCCCGTTCTGCTTGCTCGCGGTGCGCGTGACGATCGCTTTCACGACCGCCGGCGACTCGGTGAGCCCGAACCGAATCAAGTGGCAAGTGAGGAGCCACTGCAGCGTGCAGAGCGATCGCGCCGGCACGACCAATGGCGCGATCGCCTTGACGTCGGCGTCCACCGGTTTAAAATCGTTTTCTTCAAAAAACTCGACAAGAATCGCCGACGAGTTGTAAATAAACTGCCGTGCCAGCGTATTGCGCTCGAGTTGGCGCCACCACGTGCGCATGAGGAGGTGGTTGAGCGCGAGGACGACCACGAGGTTCACGAGGCCGATCGCAAAGACGGTCGGGAGCGCGCGTACAAACCACGAGTCAAAGACATTCAAGTGGACATTGATGCGCTGGAGGTTGTAGATCGGCACGTCAATGCGGCACTTGTTGTTCATTTCAATGAGCTGGTTCACATTGAGGAGCGCGATGCCAGACACGTAGATGAAAAGCACCGAGCTGAGGTTGCAGAACCGCACCATTTTGTTTTCGCCCGTGGTCTGCGCATTCCCAAGGTAGTGAAATGCGACCTTGAGACCCTTGAGGACGAGGCAGTTGGCCCACAGAAACCGGAGGCCCATCGAGTAGAGTTGCAGCGACATGAACGAATTCGGGCTGAGGCTGTTGTACATGTTGACTTCCCGCGCATAGACAAGCGATGCGTTCATGTCAAGAATGACGGCAAGCGAGTAGCCAAGGACGAAGCCGTCGCAGTTGTAGTAAAAGGTCGAGAGACTCACGGCGCTCGACGCATATCGGAAAATCGGCGGCGCGACCGTGTACCAGAGTTTGGAGTACCAAGGAAGCGTAAACCACGTCTCGACTTCGATCCAGCGGGTCGTCTTCCGACTCGCGCCAAAACTCACAATGACCCAGAGAAGACTGAGCACCTTGATGTAGACAGCCGCCGAGACAAACGCGCTCTTTTGAAGGAGGACGCCGACTTCTTGGATTGAGCCCAAGATGCCGCTGCTC